CTGGTTTTGGGAGGGGGATTCTTTTTAATACCGTACTTATGATGGGTTTCCTTCCATTCTAATAACTCTGTTGTAAGTTGGTAAGTTGAATACACTTTTATCTTTTTAAGTTTTCAGTATTATCAGTATCTTTACAAATTCAGTCTTGTTTTTACGGGTTGGAAACATTACATATATAAAACTACAGGTATATTGTAATACATACTTACATATGTAAAAATTTACAAATTACAATTTACTCTGGCGATGAAGAGTTTTGGACAACATTGGTGTTTTGTAACTTCTAGTAATAATTGCTGTACTTGTGGAAGGTTCTGTATTATCCATGTCAATGGGAATGGTATTTCTAGTCAAAACATTTATGTGGTCCTTTACTTTTTCCTTCGTGTATTTTCTGGTAGCATCTCACTGCTTCCCCAATCTGCCTATTGACTTTAGTAAAGTAATTAGTGTTTGGATCCATATTTTCAAGCAACTGAAGCCTCTGATTTAGTTGAGGAGAAAAACTTCAAGAGACCTTTCACTGTAAATTTTTTTGACAGCTTCTGCCCTTTCTCTTCCTTTACTTCCTTGCTTCTTTCCCCATCAAGATCTGTTAAGTCCTGATTTCTCAGTTCCCTTTCTTCCTAATCTATTAGTTGCTCTACATCGGTGATATCAAATTCTAAATTCGGCGTTCTTGCCAAGTGGACAAAATTTCTACCAGTCTCTTCATTCATATACTGGTCAAATGGTTGTAGTTTGTTCACATAACTCAGCAAATTTCCCCATATCCCCTGTGTGCATTTATTTTCCTGTAACTTCCTAATAGGAAGATGCAACATTCCAAATACAGTGATTGTCATAAATGTGGTTCATCATAATTTGTGGGCTTCTTGTACCTTGGAGCTTTGTTTATCACAGGAATCTCTTATGTGTCTATACATGAATCAATTCTAAAGGAAAAGAGGTTGGGTGCAAGAAAATACTTAACATTTGAATGCTTTATAAGGAGACTCTGATTAAGCATTTAGTCTTGAGATCTTCCATTGATAGGGAAGTAAGAAGAATCTCATTTCAACAGAAACTGTAGTTTTAGGCTTTTGGAAGATTGGGTGGGGGTAAGGTAAAGGTGTAATGGCAGAGAAAGGAGTCTATTTATTACCATGGTGTACTATGTACTAAGGAGCTCTGGTAGCGTAGTGGTTA